AGGGGCCGTCCATAAATGACGTCACGCGATTTTGGACGATTTTGAACCCCCCCCCCCCTTCGTCACACGGCGTCACAAAAAGTCAGACCCCCCCCCCCTGAAATATGACGTCACAAAGCTCTGCCCCCCCCCCCCAAAAAAATATAAAACATGCTTCAAATCGCTTTAAACTGTTGTCATTGTAGTGCGTATTTAATGTGGCGCTGCACTCTGATGGTGTAGGAGAAAACATCAAAAAGTCTATTTTAATTAAGTAGAACCTGTTGTCTGTATTTATTTAAAGTTATTATTTTATTATGTTTTATTTTTATTATTTTATTATTTCCCTTCTACGTGACTTTACCGAACGAACCAAGAAGATGAATCCCTGCAGTCACGAAAGCTTTAATCGAAATTGTTTAGTTTTGTTTCATGGGTTTGTAGCAAAGCACGCTAACCACTGCACCACTGCACCACCGCCCCCCCATAAAGACAAAGATCCCCCGTATAGCCTTAACAGGCTGTAGGGGCAAGTGCTGTTAGCGAGCACCTATGAAGGCCGGCACGGTACACGAGGGGGTTGGATGGCCAGTATCACGCCCGACCGCCTTTGTCTCCCCAGTGGTGATGTTTACACACTGCACCAGGTACTCATTTGAGGCTGAGTCGACCTCGGGAAGGCCCAGGACCGGTTCAGATAATCGTCACTGGGTATTGGCCATGAGCGGGAATTGAACGCGGGTCGCCAGGTTCGTAGCGCAGCGTAGCGCTAACCGCTGCACCACCGCTCCCCACCTCACACCGACACACACACACACCGACACACACACACCGACACACACACACACCGACACACACTCACACTGCTCCCCACTCACACCGACACACACACACACGTGTCTTCTTGACACACGTGTGAACACTTTCTAGGGGACCCCCATAAAGATTGACACTCCGTGTTCCACCCCATCGCGACTCAAGGCTAGCGGCCGTCTGGAACTCGCTTAGCGGACCTTACGTGATAAAAAATTAACCCGTAAAAACAAAGTTTTTCACTATAAATCCTTTATATGCGTGGCGGCTAGAGTCCTCTCGTCCTCTGGCTTGAGATGGCTGCCACCTATGGGTCAGATGATTGCCTGCCACCATTAAGCAATTGGTAATTAAATATAATTATTTTTTTCCTAAAAAGTGTAAAATTTTGGAAAAGATTTTCACGAAAAGAAATTGTCACGCACAACGAGTCTGTGTGCAAAATGTCAGCTCGATTGGATCACGGGAAGTGGGTTAAAAAACGACCGAAAGATTTGCACGGTCGTAAGCGCGCAAGCAAGCAAGCGAGTGAACTTAAAGGATTAAAAAATAAAAATAATTAGATCAACCCAATTACTCTCACCCCCCCCCCCCCCCCACTGACCGCACGTAGGCAAAGTCGCGTGGACTTCGGGGAAGAACGCTAATTGAATTAAAGGGGGTGGGCGTGGGGGTGGGGGTTAGCGTCGTGAGCGATGACCGGGCCAGTGCTCTCTGTGTCGCCGTGGGGCCCCAAGCAATAGCGGAGCCAGAATTGTCAGGTAGGGGGGGGCAACCCCTCCAGCAATGAAAGATGATAGGGGAGTTGTTAGTAAACAAGGACTTGTCCCTGGCCTTTTATTCGACGCGTGTGCGGCGATGGCGCGGCTATCGATCGAGGGTCGAATTCGAACCGCGTGGTGTGATCGGCATCGCGCTCGCTGAAGGTGAATGCCTTCTGGGAAGTCGTGTCCTGTTTACGCAACTGGGCACAATTCTGAGTCACTTATAACCGCTTTGCCGTTACTTATTGACAATTATGGACTCAGACTATTGTCCTATCATGTCATAGAGTCCCTGGCACGTAATAATATGCTACACAGTGGCAACGGGGGTCACAAAATGCCGATTTATCACAAATAAACCCCAATGACCCGATCGAAATTAGGGATTTCGATCGGATCATTGAGGGCGGGGGGGCACGTGCCACCCCCCCCCCCCCCCCCCCCCCCCCCCACTGGCTCTGCAGTGGCCCCAAGATTGTCCGTGGTGGTGGAGGGAGGGGGGTGGCGGTGCAGGGCTTGGGGCAAACCTTCTACCACGTCCCCCCCCACCCCCCTTCGAATCTCTGTGGGCATCTCAGCGCTTTAGTCACACTTGTCCACCAGAACACGAGAGACAGAGAGAGACAGAGAATGGTCGTCTCAATGGACGACTATCCCTCTCCTTAATGCTCTTAGTGTCCTCTGGGCAGAGGTCGCAAACGGGTTTTGATTCCTTACCCGTACCCGGCCGCACCAGGGTCGCAAACGGGTACCCGTACCCGGTACCCGGTCGGGTACGGGTAGCCGGGTATAGGGTAGGGTACGGGTATCGAGTAGGGTACGGGTATCGGGTAGGGTACGGGTATCGGGTAGGGTACGGGTATCGGGTAGGGTACGGGTATCGGGTAGGGTACGGGTATCGGGTAGGGTACGGGTATTGGGTATGGGTAGCCGGGTATCGGGTAGGGTACGGGTATCGGGTAGGGTACGGGTATCGGGTAGGGTACGGGTATCGGGTAGGGTACGGGTATCGGGTAGGGTACGGGTATCGGGTAGGGTACGGGTATCGGGTAGGGTACGGGTATTGGGTATGGGTAGCCGGGTATCGGGTAGGGTACGGGTATCGGGTAGGGTACGGGTATCGGGTAGGGTACGGGTATCGGGTAGGGTACGGGTATCGGGTACCCGATTGCGACCTCTGCCTCTGAGCTTCCCCAGTGCTCGACTATGAGGCCGACTGTTGCTCAGCCGGTGCGTACGCTATGCCCCCTTGGGCACACTTGCGTTGTCGTCATGGCTTGGGACTTTCGCTTTAATGCCCGGCGGCTCGCACGATTCATCTCCAGGGTCAGAGTCTTTACTTGGACGGGAGGTGTCCGATGAGCGATGATTCCAGAGTGGTGGTGTCCGTGCGTTCGCGTTGCCTCGCCAAGGTCAATTTGTGGATGCACTCGTGAATGTCAACAACAAAAACATTACGTTCTCGGGTTCTCCACGTCAAGTGCGTAACTTTGGATGGGTTTTAGTATGGCCACAGACGGGACTTTAAATCCATCTTCCTCGAAACATGAGTGTTGTCCCAGACCCCTGGTTTGACATTTGAGGCCCACGTACATGATATGACCAAAATAGTTCATCCATTTACTCGACTAAGACCTAAGCCGTCACCTCCTGATGCCCTGAGGCTGGCGCACGCCTTCATTTCATCCAGACCGGATTACTGCAATGCCTTGCTCGCTGGCGTTTTAAATAGACTCCAATATGTGTAAGACTCAGAAGCACAAGTCTTAACCAGATCGAAATCGTGTGACCTGATCATATCCTCTCCTTTCATCCCCTTGCAGCTACTCGCGGTGCCACTACGACTGCTGGGTGATGATGTTGGTGATGGTGAAGATGGTGATGATAATATTGGTGATGATGGTTGGTGAAGATGATGGTGATGATGGTGATGATAATAATGGTGGTGGCGGTGATGATGGTGAAGATGGTGGTGATGATGAGGATGATAATAATGGTGATGATGGTGGTGATGATGATGGTGATGATAATAATGGTGATGATGATAATAATGGTGATGATGGTGGTGGTGAAGTTGATGGTAATCATAGCGATGAAGATGATGATGGTGATGATGATGGTGATGATGATGGTGATGATGGTGATGATAATGATGATAATAATGGTGATGATGATGATAATAATGGTGATGATGGTGGTGGTGGTGATGATGGTGAAGATGGTGATGATGATGATGAAAATGATAAAGATGGTGATGATGATGTTGGTGAAGATGATGGTAATCATAGCGATGAAGATGATGATGGTGATGATGATGCTTACGACAACGGCCCTGGCATGCCAGTGACCTCCTGATAGTCATCACTCCTCATTCCTGTTACTCTGACTCCTCACTCACTCCTCACTCACTCCTCACTCACTCCTAATCATCTCACTCACTCACTCACTCCTCACTCACTCACTCACTCACTCCTCACTCACTCACTCACTCCTCACTCACTCACTCACTCACTCCTCACTCACTCACTCACTCGCTCACTCACTCCTAATCATCTCACTCAACTCACTCACTCCTCACTCACTCACTCACTCCTCACTCACTCACTCACTCCTCACTCACTCACTCACTCACTCCTCACTCCACTCACTCACTCACTCCTCACTCACTCACTCCTACTCATATCACTCCTCACTCACTCACTCACTCCTCACTCACTCCTCACTCACGCGTACTCACCTCACTCACTCACTCCTCACTCACTCCTCGCTCACTCCTCACTCACTCACTCCTCACTCATCTCACTCCTACTCATCTCACTCCTCACTCCTACTTACCTCACTCACTCACTCTTCACTCACTCACTCCTCACTCACTCCAACTCATCTCACTCACTCACTCCTCACTCACTCACTCACTCCTCACCCCCCGCCCTCCTGCCCACCTTGTCGTAGACGGACCACGACAGCTCGGTCTCGATGACCATGACGACGATGCCGAACATGCCGAAGATGAGCGCGTAGTCGCTCAGCCTCTTCCGCTTCTCGAACAGCGCCCGCCGGTGTCCCAGCTTGTAGCCGATGTTCTGCGTCTTCTTCTTGTTGTTGTTGTTGCCGCTGCCGCTGCCACCGCACGCCTTCACCGTCGAGCCCGCAGAGCACCGCGCCGGCGGCAGCGGCGGCGGCGGCGGCGCGGGAGGCAGAAGAGGCGGCGGGGGAGGAGGTGGGGTATTGGGTGGCGGTGGATGCTGCTGCTGCTGTTGCTGTTGTTGTTGATGATGCTGCTGCTGGTGGTGGTGGTGTGGATGATGTGGCAGCGGTGGTGGAGGAGGAGGCGGAGGCGGTGGAGGAGGAGGAGGTAGTGACAGCGGGGACTGGCGGTGGAGCGATTGCGCCCCGCCCTGCAGCGAAGGACTTCTCAGCACCCCCGACGCGGACAGCGACAGTTCACACACGGGCCTCGACACCACGATCTCGGGCGTCTGCTGCAGCTGCAGCTGCTGCTGCTGGTGGTGGTGGCAGTGCCCCTGCAGGATCTGTGGACTCCTCGCTTCGGCGCCGTGGTCTCCCTCCTGCCCTCCCTGCAGGCTTCTTCCGCGACGCGCTCAGGTGGCTCAGAGGTTTCACCATCCCGCCGTTGTACTTGCAGCTGCTCATCGCGATCTCGGTGAACGCGTTGCTCTCCCGCCGCCCGCTGCCCGTCGGGCTCGACGCCCTGCTCAGCTGGTGATGCTGCTGCTGCTGCGGCTGCGGCTGCTGCGGCTGCTTGGCAGTGCAGGCGTTGCACGAGAGCTTCTGCAGCAGCGGTGACAGCGACGCGTCCGTCTCAGGGCAGGAGCAGCCGCTGAAGTTGACGCTCAGCTGACTGCCGTGCGGAGAGCAACACTGGCCCTGCATCAGGCAATGCTGCTGCTGCTGCTGATGGTGGTGGTGGAGGTGATGGTGTCCTGGGAAGGTCCCGTGTCTGGGGAGACCCCCTGCGGAGAAGGGGGCCTTGCCGTGGAGGCAGGGGTCCAAGGCCAAGCCGAAACCTCGCGTCCTGAAAGTCGTTGCAGGAAGGGCTCGAGGAACGTGGCTTCGTAAACTCCATGTTCCTCGCGTGGGGCCAGGGACGGTCAGCTGTGGGTGGGGTCGGGGGAGGGAGGGGGGGGTTGGGCAGAGAGGAGATGGTTGGTGAAAATCAAAACAACATCCAACGCAACCACGACAACCAGTTTTTTTTTCAGTTATTTGGTGTAGCCCTGTGAGCCATTCGGCTCTTGAATCGGGTGCACCGCAACAAACAAAACATGACAAGAAACATCTTAAAGTGACTACGCACAACAGAAAAATCCAGGAAAAACAGCAAAGTCTTCCAGAAAAAGCACCGTGTATCAACGCTGTTGTGCAAAACTCCCAGTGGGATGCAAGTCAAACAATAACAACCACAAGACAATGTAGATTAAAGTTATCAGTCTGACTCTGTACTACAACACACAAATATGGCAAAACCAAAACGTTTTCGAAATATAAATAAAACTATAAAAGCAATGCAACAGTGATCATAGGAGCTGCAATTGAAATTTTACAATAAACGATATACATAACATATACTACCAAATTTCGATTTAAAGCTTTCGTGACTGCAGGGATTCATCTTCTTGGTTCTTTCGGTAAAGTCACGTAGAAGGGAAGTAATAAAATATAAAAATAAAACATAATTAAATACAATTCTCACAACGCAAGTAGCCGGCTGCTCTCACGACGTTTCGGCCACAACGCAAGTAGCCGGCTGCTTGCGTTGTGGCCGAAACGTCGTGAGAATTATTTTATTATGTTTTATTTTTATTATTTTATTACTTCCCTTCTACGTGACTTTACCGAAAGAACCAAGAAGATGAATCCCTGCAGTCACGAAAGCTTTAAATCGAAATTTTTTCATGTTTTATTTTTATTATTTTATTACTATCCCTTCTACGTGACTTTACCGAAAGAACCAAGAAGATGAATCCCTGCAGTCACGAAAGCTTTAAATCGAAATTTGTATTATGTTTCATTTTTATTATTTTATTACTTCCCTTCTACGTGACTTTTACCGAAAGAACAAGAAGATGAATCCCTGGAGTCACGAAAGCTTTAAATCGAAATTTTTTCATGGTTTATTTTTATTATTTTATTACTTCCCTTCTACGGACTTTACCGAAAGAACCAAGAGATGTACTACCAAACTTTGCAGCTCGTGCCCAGCAACAACGCACGGCCACAACCAACACCACCGCCACCTCCACCGCTGGGGGGGGGGTGGGGGGGGCTGTGTGAAGGCGATGGCTCCCAGGGGCTGTAGCCCGGGCCCCTGAGGGTGGCGAGGGCCACCCCTATCACCCGTACAGGGCGCAGGACACGCGACGCGCAGACTTGCACGGCGGCTCAAACGCAATGGCCGGAGCACGATGGTGAACCACCCAGAGGTGGTCTGGCGATCGGCCGGGTGGCTCGCCGGGCCGGTGGAAGGTCGAGAGTTCAAATCCTCGTCGGCAACGGGGGGTGGGGCGGGGGGGTGACTCAGCCATCATCTCTCCCTGGGGGGGGGTCATTAAAATAAGTACCAGTTTGTGGGGAGGTCCACAGCAAGTTGTCCTTGCCCGCCCCGCCCCGCCAACCCCATGCCATAGGAATGTGGAATTTCCACCACGGCACTGCAGGAGCTGTGTAGATGAGAGATGACCACCGACAGCCTCTCAATGCTCAAGTGAGCGGTGGGACGGGGGGGGGGTCTCCCACCGACTTCGGTCATTGTCAAGAGCCGCGGCGCTACCAGCATCGAGCGGCGCTACCGGTGAAGCTACCGATGATCTACCGGTGACACTGCCGGTGATGCTACTGGTGATGCCTACCGGTGATGCTACCGATGACTCTACCGGTGAATCTACCGGTGATGCTACTGGTGATGCTACTGGTGATGCTACCGGTGATGCTACCGTTGACTCTACCGGTGAAGCTACCGGTGAAACTGCCGGTGATGCTACTGGTGACGCTACCGGTGATGCTACCGATGACTCTACCGGTGACTCTACCGGTGACTCTACCGGTGACGCTACCGATGACTCTACTGGTGACACTGCCAGTGATGCTACTGGTGATGCTACTGGTGATGCTACCGGTGACGCTACCGATGACTCTAAACGATGACTCTACCGGTGACACTGCCAGTGAAGCTATCGGTGACGCTACCGGTGACACTGCCGGTGATACTACCGGTGACGCTGCCGGTGATGCTACTGGTGAAACTGCCGGGATACTACCGGTTGACGCTGCCGGTGACGCGAGAGTTTCCAATCAGCTTTTTCAACTTTGATTTCGCCTTCGCGGTCCCGTACTTGGCGTTTGAATGAACAGCAGCAGTGGCAGCACCCCGGGGGTGGATAGCCGCCTCCTGTGCCGACATGGCGGCACAGTACGTGGTGGAAAAGAAACAGCCAATGGGAGCAAGGATTGAAAGTACACAGAGGGCCCCCAATCCCCCCAAAGCTGTCCCAACCTCGGCCCCCCACTTCAATGTAACCCCGGGCCCTGTTAACGTCGCCGCCGGCAACACAGCCGGGGGCATACGCCACGAATGCCACCACCTCGAACATAATCTATACAATCGCTTGCAACAACACCACCGATACTTGCAACCGCTGACACCACCACCACCAGCAGCACAACAGCAGCCGCCGTTCACCATTAAGCGGCGGTGACGTCCCCACGGCGCTTGCGCCATGCTAGGTGCACTTTGGGTTGAGAGGTCACAGACGCCCATGGGTTGACTGATCGGTGGTGACTGGCAGACACACCAACTGTGCTGTTCACGGTGCCGATTTGCTGCGCTTTAGCCGCGCGGCGCTCCGCTCGTTGTTGTGAGCGTCGCTCCTCCGCCCCCCGTTGTGCTGGGAGGCGACTGCCTCCAAAGGTCCCCCGGAAAGGCTTAACAGACTGTAGGGGCAAGTGCTGTTAGCGAGCACCTATGAAGGCCGGGACGGTACACGAGTGGGTAGGTGGCCAGAACCACGCCCGGCCGCCTTTGTCTCCCTAGTGGGGATGTTTACCACGCACCAGGTACTCGTTTGAGGCTGAGTCGACCTAGGGGAGGCCCACGACCAGTTCAGATAATCGTCACTGGTGTTGGCCGTACACAGACCCCTACTCACCCACACAGCGACCCACACACACACAAAGACCCACACATACAGACCCTACTCACCACACACACACAGGACCCACTCACCCACACAGACCCATACCCACACAGACCCACACATACACATTGACCCACTCATTCACACACATAGAGACCCACACATACACAGACCCCCCACTCCACCACTCACCCACACACACGAGACCTCACACACATAAAGACCCACGCATACACGGACCCCTACTCACCCACACACACACAGACACTTACCCACACACACAGAGACCCACTCACCACCACAGCCACTTAACCACACAGACCCACACATCACATAGACCCACTAACACACACAGAGACCCACACATACAGAGACCCACTCACCCCAATTACTCACAGAGACAGACCCACACATACACAAAGACCCACTCACCCACACACACACAAAGACACTCACACACACACACTCTTCCACACACAGAGACCCACACACACACAGACACTCACCCACACACAGAGAGACCCACACAGAGACCACTCACCCACACATACAGAGACACTCACACACACACACTAAAGACACTCACACACACACACAGACACTCATCCACAACACAGAGACCCACACATACACGGACCCCCACTCACCCACACACACACACAAAGACACTCACACACACACAGAGACCCACACAGAGACCCACTCACCCACACCCACAGAGACACTCACACACACACACAAAGACACTCACACACACAGACACTCATCCACACACAGAGAGACCCACACACACACAGACACTCACCCACACACAGAGAGACCCACACAGAGACCCACTCACCCCACACACAGAGAGACACTCATCCACACACACAAATACACTCACACACACAGACACTCATCCACACACACAGAGACCCACACATACACAGACCCCCACTCACACCACACACCACAAAGACACTCACACACACACAGACACTCATCCACACACAGAGAGACCCACACACACAGAGGACCCACTCACCCACACACAAAGAGACCCACACATACACGGACCCTAACTCACCCACCACACAAAGACACTCATCCACACACAGAGAGACCCACTCACCCACTTAACCACACAGACCCACACATACACATAGACCCACTAACACACACAGAGACCCACACATACAGAGACCCACTCACCCAATTACTCACAGAGACAGACCCACACATACACATAGACCCACTCACCCACACCACACACAAAGACACTCACACACACACGGAGAGACCCACACAGAGACCCACTCATCCACACACACAAGACACTCACACACACAGACACTCATCCACACACACAGAGACCCACACAGAGACCCCCACACACCCCGTCTCTGGAGAGCAACAGCAGCTGTTGGTGGCAGTCTCGTCTGATGAATGGGAATGAATGCTGCAAATGAATTACAAAGAAGAGTCCAGTCACGACAGATGAACCCCGCTCCCTCTCAGCCCCCTCCCCTCACCCTCCACCACATCCACAACCTTCGCGATGGAGTACGAGGTGGCGGAGTAGGAGTGCTCTCGATATCGCCGACGGTCGAGATTAATAACGTTGGCCCAGCGGCTCCAACCCTCATGCCAACGTTGAACCAACGTTGAGTCAACGTTGGCCCAGCGGCTCCAACCACATGCCAACGTTGGTTCAACGTTGGCCCAAAGGTTCTAACCACATGCCAACGTTGAACCAACGTTGAACCAACGTTGGTGCAACGGCTCCAAGCACATGCCAACGTTGAACCAACGTTGGCACAACGTTGGTGCAACGGCTCCAAGCACATGCCAACGT